GTGGACATTCCATCAATGATACTGCAAACAGTTCTGTTCATTGATCCAATAAAACTCTGTGATATCATTTTCTATCTTATACACTTAAATATACATGCAGTTATATAGTTTGGAGCACTTTCTTTTCCTCTCTTTTGTACCATGACTATTACACATTTTGGGTTTCATTGCTCCCACGGTTCTTATTACTTTTTTGGAAGAGAGTAAAACCAAATGTGACATAACAGAACAGAATTGGTCAAGTCAAAAGGGTGGACATAATAGATAATGTAAAAACATAATACAAGGTGATCAACAATGGTTACCATAATGCCTCCCGCTATCTCTAATAGAATTGCCTATATCGTTAGTTATAATATAATTGAACAAAACAGTAAAGAATAAAACCGACAAAACCAAAACATTGGAGACATTGTAGGTCTTCAAAAGTAGATAAAAGTCAACAAGAATGGGCGTCATAATGAATCTCATTATCTTCACAGCTGATGCCTAAACTTTCGAACCTGATACTATCCAGCAAAACAGAATAGGGGAACATCAGTTAAAAACCAGATGGTGAGAGTAATACAGGGCTTTAAATCAAGGTAATGAAAAGTCAAAGTGGGTTACTATAATATATCCTGCTATTTTTTTCCTTTAATTAAAAGGATAAAGATAAAAAAGTAAATAATGGAGTGGAGATTGAGATAAAAGAGGGCATAACAACGAAACAGCGCAGATCAAAACATAACCATTTAAGCAGAATAGTGTTTCACCACCAGATAATCCTAACCTAAAAGTAGTTACCATATTGTCTCTTTCTTTGAAATCCTTGAGTACTCTCACGGGGCCCAAGCTGGTGTGCTTGAATTCACCTCTGGCAGCCCAGTTCCTCGCATGCAGATGCCCATTTTTGGATTAGGTCTTTGAATTTGTGGGTCCTGATTCTTTTCAATTCTTTATATGTTTTAGATTTAAATTCTTTGAAGAACATCTGGCTGTACTTTATTTCCCACTCTGTATGTTGTGTTTTCACTCTACTGATGATTTCTTTTGTTGTGCAAAACTTTAATGAGATCCTAAGTGTTGATTCTTTGATGTGTTTTCTGTGCTGTCTGGCTTTTGTTCATGAAGTTTCTGCCTCCACCTGTGTCTTCCAGATTGCTGTTTTCTCTTCCAGTAGATTTAGTGTTTCTGTTTTAATATTTAAATGTTTGATGCATTTTGAGTTTAGTTTACAGCATGGTGATAGACATAGGTCTGATTTTATTCATTGGCATGTGAAAAGAGTTTTTCTAGCACCGTTTATTGAAGTATCAGTCTTTCTTGGCTTGTTTGGCTCCTTTGTTAAAGATCAGGTGACTGAGTGTTTAGAAATGGAGCTCCATCTTCCATTCTGTTCCTCTAATTCTCGGGTCTGGGTTTGTTTTTTTTTTGCCAGTCCCATGCTGATTTTATCACAGTAGTTTTTTGGTATAATTTCAGGTCAGGGATTATGATTCTCCTCTAATTTGCTTTTGTTGCCCAGGATTGCTTTGCTGTTCTAGATTTCTTCTAGTTCTAAATGAATTTTAGGAATGGTTTCTCTAGTTCTCTGAGGCAAGCTAATAGTATTTTGATTGGAATTGAATTAAATATGTGTAACAGTTTTGGTAGTAGGGTCATTTTCATTATGTTGGTTCTTCCTATCCATGAGCAGGAAATACCTTTCCATTTTCTGATAGCCTCTTCTATCTCCTTTTTCAGAGTATTATAATTTTCAATATATGGCTATTTTACATCCTTTGTTAAACTGAGTCCTAAGTATTGCATTTTTTGAATGCATTTTTTTGGCTGCTACTGTAAAGGGTAATTTCTCTCTGTGTGACTTTGCTTGTTACTTGTGTATAGGAATACTACTAATTTGTGAGTGTTGACTTTTATCCAGCTATACTACTGAATTTGGTTATTAAGTCTACAAGTCTTTTGGTGGATTTTTTGGGTCTTCTATGTAGAATATCATGTCACCTGCAAATAATGGTAATTTAATTTCTTGTTTTCCTATCCTATTCCTTTACTTGCGTATTCTCACCAGTTGCTCTAGTAGTATTTCTAGAACTATTTTGAGTAGGAGTGTAGTAGTGGACATCCTTGTCTTGTTCCTGATTTTAGAGTGAAAGCTTCCAGTTTTTGACCATTTAGTATGATGTTAGCTATTGATTTGTTGTAGATAGCTTTTATCAGATTGAGGTAAAGACCATATATTCCAATTCTCAATAGTTTTTTTTTTATCATGAATGGGTGTGGACTTTATCAAAAGCTTTTTCTACATCTATTGAGAAGATCAAGTGATTTTTGTCTTTGGCTCTGTTAATATAGTATACTATATTTATTGATTTACATTTGTTGAGCCATCCCTGTATCCCTGGGATGAATCCTACTTGGTCATAATGTACATAATCTTGATGATTTAGTGCATTCTATTTGTCAGTAACAAAGTAAGGATTTTTGTATCTATATTCATTAGGGAGATTCACCTGTAGTGGGTTTTTTTTGGTTGGGTTCTTCTCTGTTTTTAGAATCTACAGTACTTGTTTCCAGGAATGTTTTTGGAAGTCTTGCTTCCCTTTAGTTTCCTTTAAGAGTTTCAGCATTAGTGACATTAATTCTTTTCTAAATTTCTTGTATAATTTAACAGTGAATTTGTCAGGTCTTGAGCTTTTCTTTTTTAGTAGGTATTTTGTTACATTTTCAACCTCACTGATTTAAAATTTTTAATATCTTGATTTAGTTTAGGTAATTTGATTTTGTCTAGGAATCTATCCATTTCATTTGTTTTCCATCTTATTAGAATACAGATTCTTATAGTAGATGTTAATAGTCTTCTGGATTTCTATAGGATCCATTGTGATTTCCCTATTTTTCATTCCTAATTGCTTGAATTTGTGTTTGCTCCTTCCTCTTTTTGATGAGGTTGGCTAATGGTTTTATCAATTTTATTTATTCTTTCAAAAAATCAACTTTTTGGTTCATTGACTTATTGATTCTTTGTATTATTTTCTTAGTCTCAACTGTATTAATTTCTTTATCTTTGGGTTTGATTTATTCTTCTCTTTCTATAAGCTTGAGGTTCAATATTAAGTTGTTTATTTGAGTTCATTCTATTTTCCTGATGTGAAAGTTCCTTGCTGTAAATTTCCCTCATAGGACCGTTTTCATTGCATCATGTAAGTTTCAGTATGTTGTATACATTATCATTTAATTGTATATACTGTTTAATTTTATCTTTAATTTCTTTCGTGACCCATTGGTTGTTCAGAAAGATGTTATTTAATTTCCATGTGTTTGTGTAGTTTTTGTGATTCCTTTTGCTGATTTCCAGTTTCATTGTGCTATGATCAGATAGTGTGCATGTTTTATGTGTTCTATTTTGGAAAACATCCCGTGTGCAGCTGAGAAGAATGTAGACATCTATGAGTCCATTTGTTCACAGGCTTGGTTTAATTCTGATATTTCTTTTTTTTTTTCTAGTTGACCTATCTATTTGTGAGAGTGGGATATTAAGGGTCCCCACTACAATTGTGTTAATGCTTATTTGGTTTTTATGTTTGTTAATATTTGTTATGGGGTTGGGTATACCAAGGGTTGCTGCCTATATATTTATTATTGCTATCTCTTCTTGGAGTTTTCCTATATGTATCTTTGTCTCTTTTGATCAGTTTGGTTTAAAGTTTACATTGTCTGCAAATCGAGTAGCTACCACTGCTTTTTTCTGGTTTTCTGTGGCATTGTTTGAGAATTGTTTTCCGTCTTTTAACGTTTAGTCTGTGAATTTTGTTTTGATTTAAATGTGTTTCTTGAATGCAGCATATTGTTGGATGTTCATTTTGATCCATTGTGCCAATCTGTTTCTTTGATTGGAGAGTTGAGACTGTTTACATGATGGTTGTAATGGTTATGTATTGGCTTACCTTTTTCAAGTTATTTTCCTTTTGCTGGTTCCCTGTCTTTTTCCTGTGTTTCTTTGTTTGCCCTGCCTGCCAACAGTTGTTTGAAAACTAGTTAAAAAAAGAAAAATGCAGCTGTTCTCCTTTGAAAAGAAAACAGATTTTGGACTAGTTCCAGGAGACCATTTTGGTCAGACATAAAGATCTTTTTGATTCCATCTTGTTAATAATTTTTACATATATTTATTACTTTGTCATTACTGTAGCTGCTTTAAACAGACATTTTTTTTTTCTTTCCTGCAATTTTGCATGAGTTTTCTGGCTGGTTTCTCTTTCTGCCTACTTTTGTTCTATAGCACTCCTATGATGATCTTTCTGAAACAGAAGTCTCATCTTCTACCGCATGGTTAATCTTTTCAGCTCTCCTCATTGCTTTTATGGTAAATCCAAGCTCCTCTGTTTTCACCTTTTCTCTCATCCTTCAAAGCTGGACCTTCATGGTACAAGTACACTTTCACTTTGGAGTTAGGTCTGTGTCTTGTATACTTTTAGGCTATACTAGGATTGTATACGTCTACCAACTCTATTAAAACACGTCATTGTACCTATTAATTTCTCTCTACTGTGAGAAACTTGGGAGTGGAAACTGTCTTATATATCACCAGTTCCTGGAATGTAGTAAATGCTGAGTGTATGAAAAATTCTTTTATTCAATAGATTACCAAAATATGTTGTGCACAAGAAAATAAACTGTCAACTGAGCCAAGAACTTTAACAGTTTGAAACGTAGTTCTGTATGTGTGGTTTCTTCCCCACTGGGATATTTTTGTTGAATTTTGATTTATTTACTATTTAAAGATAAAGGAAATAAAGTTTTCGTAAATAAGGAGGGGAAGAGGGGTTTGAAGGTGAGGTTAAGGATATGGGTGGGGGGAAGGAAATGAGATAAGTAACCTACAAGTACAAAGTCCCTATGATGAAACTGATCATTATGTATAATTAAAATGTACTAGTAAACAATAAGAATAACACTGTCCTTTATTATACTACAGTGATACTGTTTTCACTCTTGTTCTTGGTTTCTGCTTTGTGTAGCTCATTCAGCTGATTGTGAATCATCTTACACTACCAGACCTGTGTAGATTAGCACAGACTTGCAAACTACTGAACCAGCATTGCTGCGATCCTCTGCAATACATCCACCTCAACCTGCAGCCATACTGGGCGAAACTAAATGATACTTCGTTAGAGTTTCTACAGGCTCGATGCACTCTTGTCCAATGGCTTAATTTATCTTGGACTGGAAATAGGGGCTTCATCTCTGTTTCAGGGTTTAGCAGGTTAGTGCAAAGACTGGTTAAGGTTTTAATAATTTTTTAAATAATAATTTTCATAATAAAAGTTTAAAGTTACATACTGTATCTTACAGAAATAAAGAAATATAATTTGTATTCAGAATGGTGCTACTTATTTATAAATAATGGGGGAATTTTACCATCCTTTTCAGCTAAACTTCTTAAGGGAATTGTATCCTGTACCTCTTACTTTTTTAAATCCCAAGTGACTTTCTAAAGAACTCCTTTTTTTGTTTCTCTTATTTTCAGCACGGATGATTAACACATTTAAAAAACTATTTCCAAATCAAAATCTACCTCTCTAATGTGATTTGTCAGAAATGGAAAACAATTTATTATGGAGCATTTTTAATTAAATCTTAATTACATGTGCAATACATCACCCAAATTTAGAAGCTCATTTGAACTAATGATGTTGAAAATGCAATTGCATGCTAACGAGACGACCACACTTGCAGACCTTCCCAGGTGTTTCTGCTCCTTTCTATTTAAGCATTTAGTCTCCTTACTATTAAATGTCACCTGTTAAACATTTGAAATCTTGTGCAAGTGTATAATCATTTAGTAATGCCATAGTAATTTTTCTTGTGATACAAACAGGTGTTTTTCTCTTAACCTTGGTAAGAGTTGTTTCCATTTTATGGTACATGTAAGCTCATCATTTTCAGAGGTTAAATAAAGGAGAATAAAGTTTGGGGAAAATACCTTTTAATGAATGAGTACTCCTTTTGAGATCAGACGAGATCAAGTGTGTTCAGGATGGGATGGCATAGACTGAATGAATACTCCTTTATCATATTTTTAGAAACTAAAAATGAACTGTGCCTATCCCTACATCTGGGTACCCTGTAGTGGGTACATTGTTGTATAGTGGTTTATGAGTTAGAAGTTTATATATAGTTCCTTATTTTCCTTTGCCACAGATTATAATACAGATGTACTATAATACAGATGTTCCAGAAGGAAAGATTTGATATCATTAGATTGGAATGACATCAAAGTGTGTGAAATAGTGACAGTATGCTCAGAATGCTAATTCTGATAATTTATGCATCAAATCTAAAGATAAATACAAACAATAATGGTCCACAGCACATGTTAAAAGCATGCGTGCACTGGGTTTTTTTTTTTTTTTTCTCCCAGAGATAGGTCCAGGGGAAAGGCTTATTGCTGGACATACGGTGGCTATCCAGTGGAACAAATTGTAGAGACAGAGAGAGGGTGATCCCTTTTCTCTCCATCATAAAGGGTACAACTGGTACCCCCTATATTAAAAGACAAGTTACCAAGAAATAGGTTAACAATTTTGCTTAATCGCAGTTATGGATGGTACGAGAGCTTTCACAAAAAAGACTTACAGATGTAGGAGAAACCATCTGGTTTTATGTCTAGGTTTGAAGAAGCAGGGCCAGGCAGGCATGTAGCAATACGGCTGAACAAAGCATGTGTGACCTAATTGTGACACAGTGAATGGAGGAGGGCTCACCTGATTAGGTCCTTCTTGCATCTGTGTTGTAGCATTTCTTCCTCCTGAGTGTAGAGCGGGACCTCTCTGGATTGGGAGTTTTAAAACCTCCTATGGGGTAGGTCATAGAATTTCTTTATAGCCAGCTCCTAGGAAGAAAGGCAGGGGAAATTTAGAGTAATATGTTTAGAGTTTACGACTTGGTTTGGGGAAAAGAAGTTCTGGTTTTTATGACCTGTCTTAGAGAAGAATAATTCTGTTTTTGTGATTTGCTTTAGGGGAGAACAAGAGGTAAGAGACAAAAGGAGAGGAAAAAGAAACCTTGGGTTCAAGACTGCCTTGGGTTCAAGACAGTCTCTTGTGCTTTAGCTCAAAGTACACGGCATGCCAACACTCTAGACTTTGAGGTCATTGCCTAACCCCTCCCCGATTATGTTGTCCTTTTTTCCACTTCTCTCTGCTGCAAGCACACATACTTCATGTGCACATTTTCCTCTCTGCTAATAGGACCATGAAGACCTGAAGCTAATGATGGCTGAGTAGAACGCTATTGATCATAAACTGAGACCAACTGAATGTGAGACAGGTAGAAGAATTGTGCCAGTAAACATTATTTTACATTATAAAGACCTTCAGGGTATTCAGTTATTCTTGCAGCTCTATTTCCAGTGTTTATCATTAGGAATTAATACTAAGTGTTTTCACCATTTGAGTGCAAGAGATGGTATTCAGACGATGTAGATATGTGAAATACATGATACAGTTCCTTCTATAGAGAAGCTAAAAATATAAAGACAAATATGTAAACATATCCTTTGCAATGTTTCTAGAAATCAAATAAGGCAGCAACTAATGATTGTAGAAGTTAAGGAAAATACTGGTAATAAATGGCTGGCATCCAGCTTCTTTCATAATGTGCTACATAGGATTGTGGTGATGAGTAAAATGTAAAGGTAGTATTGCATTTTTAAAACTCTTTGTGTGGTTTTCTTGGGTCCAAGAGAAGATGCATCAGTTGTGAGAGGAAAACTCTGTGGTATTTTTAAAATTATAGATTATAATGAGCAAGTATCTTTTGCAGAGTGAGAGTTCCAGTCTACTTTCTCATAAGTTCTTCTGTTTTTCAGTTCACACCAGGGCAGTTACTGTGGGCGTGATAAACAAAACTATATATGTAAATTTAATTTGCCAAATTTTTAGCCAGAAAAACAATGCATTTTGCTAGCATTCCTTTACATAGCAAATGTTCTCATTAAGAAAAAGTTTAAATAACAGAAACAGGAAAAATTGGGGAGGTGGAGGCAGATGGGAGTTTCATTTGGTGATTGCTGTTGACCCCCCTTGACTTAACTGCTGAATTGACAGTCATTCTGGCTTGAAGGTGCATTCCCAGAATAAATAATACATATTCATGGCTTGATTATTAATGAGTAATCTATGAATAAGTATGGTCTATTTATGCTTATTACTGTGAACAAGACTTATTTATAATACTTTAAAGAAAAAAAAGATATGTTTTAAAACTAGAAACCAGTGGTGATGAGCTGCTTTTTGAGCAAGTCTTTGGGTAAAATTTCATGAAGCTTATTTTTATTAACTGAAAACCTTATGAAGATTAGATATATTTCACCAGATTTTAAGAACTTTTTAGCAGTTTGTATTCAAAATAGCAGAGAAACATTAAATTGGAATAAAGAGAACATAAAACTCTTAATCAGTTGTCATGATTCTACTGCAGCCATAGATTTGTAATTTGCAATGTGGGGTAATGCTCAGGCATATCACTACTTACTAAAATCTTATCTGTTATAATTACTCTTTTCTTTTGTAATATAGTTCTCCAAAGTCTTGGATATTTCTTTGCCTGCCTGCCTGTTTGTGTTTTAAAGTTTAATCACATCATACTGTCCAAAAGGTAGATTTTCCTATTACCATTTTTCTAACCTATTACTTATTCTAAGTAGTTTATATTTGTTACTTCAGGAAACATTCTTGGATAACTTTGTAGATTCAAGAACCTTGGTAGACATTTTCAAACAGTTGTAGTTTCATAGCACAAAGAGCTATTTTTCCATTCATGTGTTTTTTCAATTGCTTGACTATATTCTGTACACTTGGTCTTAGATTGTCAAATCCTAAAAAGTAGACTACACACTATGATCAGGAAGGTTTTTAATGGCATTATTTTGGAGCAGATTATTTGAAATTAATCTTACCTTAAATACACTTTCTTAAAGATTCAGTGAGGGGAAGCTAAAAAAACAGAAGATTAACAATCAGAGGTCATGGATATTTATGTTCAAGTTTCCTGTTAGCTTTATGCATCAGGCAGGTGTGAGGATTAGTCTTTCATTTTGAGATTGAGTAAAACCAGATTAAATTGTTCATTTGTGTGATGTTAATTATTTTAGGCTGCAAGTTACCAGTTAGTAAATTATTTCTTACATACTTGTATTCCTCTGGACAAATCAGTTAGCTCCTAAGGTATCATTGTATTTCTCCCTCCAGAGACTCTTTTTATCAGATCTGGAGACACCAGTCAGAATTGTTCATCTGAACGTAGGTCTCCTCATAAAAACCTCAGTATCAAGAAGTGCTTTATGAGAATTCACAATGTAGCATGAGTAGCTGCAGGAAAGCTGTAGTTTTCCTTTCAAGCAATGCATGTCACAGTTGAGATGGATAAATAGTGACCAAGACGAAAACATATCTAACTTTATATTAAAATAAAACTTCCATGCGGTGCATTAAAGAAACAAGTATGTTCGGCTAACTGAGTCTGCTGCTGCTTCTGCTTTCTTAGGATGCAGATATTATAAAAAGAAGGTGGTATACATCTTATCAAGTAAAGAAGAAAGAATATAAGTGTATTGGGCAAATAATCCACTCAGAGGGAAAATACACAATGTAAGAACCTCAACAAAGAAAAATAATTCTTACTAGTATAGTATGATTATTGTCTTTACTGTGTTTTCAAATTCTAACATTAAATCTGTCTGAAGTTTTCTACTCTATTAATGTTGGCTTTCTAATGATTGAATGGATAGCAGTGTAAATTCTTTGGAGAGGAAAGGTTCATACATGAGAGTAAAGAGCAAAAGGAATGTCAAGTCACTTTAAGTGAAATACGAAAAAGAAGTGCAGATTAGAATGCTTCACCCCAATAGTGAAGCCCGCAAAGAGATAAGATCTCTAAATCTTCTAATTCTGAGAGTTTATATGTTCACTTTTAAAGTCAGCAACTACTTTTAGTTATAAAATTAGGTATTTTTTTAATTATCTGAAATGCTGTATCTTTTTATATTGCTAGCTTATAAATGAGAAACTGCAAAACTACTTGTTTACTGTCAGGTAAGGTCAAATGTTAATGTCATCATGTTTTCCAGAGGTAGTTTGCCCCTACTATAGGTAAAATACTGTTAGTCACTGGAACTTAGTTCAAGAATAAAGGAGGATTATGTTTATGCAGTGTATTTTTTATAGTTAGAAGAGTCATTCAGTTAACTCTTATTAAATGTTTTTATGTGCCTGATGTTGTACTCAGTACTGCATACTCCAAGGATCTGTTTCGGTTGCCACAAGAGTTGAGATAACTTTTAAACTCCATATGCAGGGGATATAGCTCAGTGGCACGAATGCCTGCCTCTTAAGTGCAAGGTTGTAAGTTCAATCCCAGGTACACAAAACAAAACAAAACAAAACAAAACAAAGCAACCCCCCCAACTCTGTATAAAAAATAATAAGGAAATTATGTTTATGAGAAAGATAATGGGTAGGAAATAGATGATGTTAGAGCTTCGTTCATTGTTGTTGGAGATATGTCATCATTTAGCACACATTGTCTATCTTTGAAATAGGTCCAGAATCTGAGTATTTTATCTGCAAATTTGGGACTGTCATTTGGATCTGTTGCACTGTCTTCTCTTTCTTGAATGTTGCAGTGGTATTTTGATGGTTTTTACTCCTGTTACTCTCAATCTTTGTACAAAATCCACAGTCATCCTGGTGAAACACAAACTTCTGATGACTGAGAATTCCGTCTCTCTCAAAAGCCAAGTCTTGATAGTGATGTATGTTATGTGAACTGCTGTCCTGCCTCTCTGGTCTGCTCATTTCTCCCTCCTCTCACACTCTTCCATCACCTTCCATACTGCTGTTTCACTCTTGGCAACGTCCCCCGTACTAAAGTGCCTGGTGTTCCTGTTGCCTGAAATGCCCTGCCCTACTCCACACGTGCTCTCATTTCCTTCACACAGATCCCCACACGAGGCTCCGCTGACACATTTCCTGTTGGCCTTCCGTGCTTTGATTTCCCTGATGGCAGCTTTCATTCCTTACTATGCTATTTATTTTACTCATTTCTTTGTTTCTAGTCTCCAGCACTAACCAAAGTAAGCTTTGCGTGCTGAGAGCAGGGATTTCGTTTCTTCGGTGCTGAGGCTGCTGCCTGGGTCATAGTGGAAACCCGGTAAACACTTGGCTGAGTGAGTGACTGATGATTGTTTAATGCAGACTGCAGCTTAGCTAATACAAGTAGCAAAGGAAACAGTTGTGAGAACTACTGTTTGCAGTGAAGAAGATCCAGGAGAGGGATCACAGCCTCAGAAACTGAAGAAAAGAGTGCGTAACTGTGTGAGATGTCACAGATAAGTCATGTGATACATGTGGTGACAGAGCAGTTAAAAGGAGAGTGCATTTAGGGCGAGCGGAACGCACACTGCAGTGGATTAAAACTAAATGGGTGTTCAAGTGTAAGTAAAATGTGTGGGCAGTGGGGTTATTTGCAGTATTTAACTCTGTAGTAATTGAATTTTGTTGTTTTTTAAATGTGAGGTAGCTGAGATTTAACTTGTATCTTAATACTTTTGAGCTGCTTTGATCTTTGCCAACTTTCATGTATTACTGACTTTTGGAACCATGAAGCAGCATTGTAAGTATTGTTCAGTCTGCCTGTTAGAGCTGAGGAAATGCTGAGACTTAAGTAAGTGTGCTGTACCAGGTCACTGCTAGAAAGTAATAGAACACGGGAAAAAAAGAGGAGGGAAGGAAAAGGAAATTCATCTTTTGACTTCCAGCACAGTGTTAATTCTTTTATTTACACAGATAACCTGAGTTCAGTTTTACTTGATATGCCTATTTGTCAGTTTTTAAATTATTTAGCAAAAAACAGACGTAAATTAATAGTGCTAACATTGTTCATGTGACACTGATGGGCAAGATTATCATCAAGAGAATGAGACAAGGATAATTGTTGTATTATTTAGGGGTTCAAGTTCCTTAGTTGATAAAACTTCATAGTCACATAGGCCTAGATTCATGCTTCTAAGTTATTTTCAATTGTTATAGACTGGTTTTTCCCCAACGGCAGTATAACTAAGATTAATACAGTTATTTTTACTGTGATAAAATATTTCATGTCCATCACCGTAGATTATTTCTAGAGCAGTCCAGTTATTAAATATTAGTAACAGGTAAAGGAGCATATTACACAACAGTGGAGTTAAACCAACCTAGAAATGTTCTGACTTGAAAGGGTTGGTTTGATTTGTCTTGAGAATATTCAGTTAAGGCTGTCATTTTGTGTTTACTGTACAAAATGTATTACTCAGTACTGCATATGATTAAGGTGGTTGTATCTTCCAAGAGTATTAAGTTTTATGTTTTGTTTGGGGCTTTACAAACTCAGATGTGAATAACAGGTAAGTGGGAGAAATATACTTTCTATTTTCTTAGCTTTCAATATGGCCTTAGCTGACTTTTTCTATTATATGATTTTACTTTATCTTCTCCAGTTGATTTATTTTAGCCTAACCATTCATATTTCAGCATGCAATGAGTGAGAATTTAAGAGACACAGTTTTTCTGTATTTTCTCTAATAGAATTCTGTTCTTTTAAGTATGTCTTCTTAGAGTTGATACAGTTTTAAAATTGTTGTAATAAGATTTTTTTAATTTTATAAAACTCATGGTACATTGTTTTTACAGATTTCTGAAGGTTTGTGGATCTGAATTAGTACGCCTTGAATTATCTTGCAGTCATTTCCTTAATGAAACATGCTTGGAGGTTATTTCTGAGATGTGTCCAAATCTGCAAGAGTTAAATCTCTCATCCTGTGATAAATTACCACCTCAAGCTTTCAACCACATTGCCAAATTATGCAGTCTTAAACGACTTGTTCTGTATCGAACAAAAATAGAGGTAAGAATAACTCATTTATGTCTTTCCTAGCGTGGTAGTCCACTGAATATTATAGTTTCCTTAATTGTTATAATAATGTGATTTCTGATTTTAAGGTAAAAATTTTGGCACCATCTTACTACTCTAAGATCCTCAGAGCTAATTTGGTCATTTTAATGCTAGAATCTGTTATGTTTTTAAATTACAAGGAAATGTTCTTGTTTGCACTCTTAAAATGTTTGAGGTACTGTGCTGTGTTTAGGTAAAGAAAGTAGGGGTGGGTTGAGGTGAGCTGAAATGCTGGCAGAGACAATTATAGAAAGAAGGGGGTTTAATACATTGGATGACATCTACTTGGGAAGGGAGAAAACAAATTGGAAATTAGATTCAGAGGTTTAAATTCCTCATACCATGGTTCACAAGTCTCATTTTTAAAAAATGAAATCATGTCATATATATTAGTTGCCTTGCTTTTTTCACTCAGTATCTGTAGTACATCTTCCCAGATAAGTACGTGTACTGCTGGACTCTGTGCTGTCCACTGTCTAGTTGGTATCATCCGAGTGATGAGCATCTGGTTTTTCCAGCAGTTTTTCTCTCACACACTATCTAGCGGTAACCTTCTTCTGTATGTGGTTTAAATATACGCTGCTACTGCTGCAGCATAGAGTCCTCAAAGTAGTATTGTTGAGTTCGAAGAGCATGTGCTTAGGACCCTGCAGTAAATGTCCATTTTCTGTTATATATTCTTTTCTCCTCTGTTACAGGCATGTTGGCTTGCTTTCTGTTCTTGAATGTTTTTCCAGCTTCTGAAACATTTTAATATTTTTTTAGCTCATTAATATTTTAAAGATGGCTTCCAGATTGTACATGAGTGACTTCCGCATCTAGTGCCATTGCCTGTTTTTAATGTTAAAAGTACTAGCTTCTAAGTACATCAGTTTCCTTATTTCTAAAGTCCAGATAGTAAAAATATAGATCTCATTGAATTTTTGCAAGGAATATATATATTATATATATGTATACATGTATATAATGTTGCTTGTGAAGGTTGTAGGTAGTGATAGTAACAATGAATATGGTGATTTGCGGTGTGTTTTATTATCTGGAGGGGAAGATCATCCTCTCTGTTTTTTGCAAACACTTTTGGTGTAAATCCTTGTGCAGTGTATTTATTCTTCCAGATATATCTTTCAGCAGGGATTTTATTAGAAGTACATTCATTATATTTCATTTTGCTCTCTAGTAAGGCTTCTCATCTGTTCATGAAGGTCGTTTTTTACATCTAAGGACCTGTTGCAATTTTCTTCACTGAGATACTAAGTTTTTTGGGTTAAATTGTTCATTGAATGTTATGCTTTCAGTTGTTACTGTTTTTCCATTTAATTTTAACTAGTTATTGTTAGTGTAAAGAAAAATCCAGATTTTTAAAAATGTGTTCATTTAGCATCTGTGTACCTTATTAAATGTTTATTTAAAATGTTATTTGGTGTTACTTTCTAATAAGTAGTCTATAAAAGCCTTATTTAATGAAGAATATTTTCTAAAAGTTCTATATCACATTAAATTTAAAGTCTTCTTTGATATACAGTCCTTGCATTGCTGAGTAATCCCTATATGGGTTTGTTTGTTGTTTTATTTTTGGTATTATAGAACCAGGGCCTTGCTCATATAAAGCATGTACCTATCACAAAGCTATGTACAGCCAACCCCCAATTTCTGTATGTTTTTAGTTTAATGCATAACTAAATTGATTTCCTGATATTTTGGAGCCAAACTGCTTGGATATGTCTGCTACCATTATCTGTTACTAATTGGGTTAGCTTGAGGAAGTTTTCTAGCTCCCTGTAATTTTTCCTCTATCAAGTAAGGACAATGATGGTACATTTTTGAGGGGTTATTGTGAGTATTAATGATTTAATATATATAAAATATCTATAACGGTACATGCTTCATAGTAAAAAACTGAATCAGGGTTTATACTTGTATTTTTTACATTTGCTATTTTTGATGATACTGAGCTATGGTTTTCTTTTTTGTTCTATTTTATTAGGTTTGGGACTGGGGTTATGAGAGGTTAGCAGGGTGAATTGAGGGCAATAACTATATTACAATAACTTAAATAAGTAGAAATTATCTGTTAGATACATTCACTTACAGAAAGCTAAGGACATTTAGCCTTTTTTTTTTTAAAGCATGTAGCTTTTGTTCTAATCTACAGAAAACTGAAAGTGTGTGAATATGAGAGGTTGTAACAAATACATTATTCTCAATTTGGGGAAAAATGTTTAGCTTAATAGGTAAAATGGTAAAGAGGGAAACCTGGAAAGAAGACCACGATTCTAGTTAGAGCCCGTTTAGTAATCTAGGTTATGATATAGTCTCAGATTCTCAGTTTTTATTTGTAAAATGAAAGAACTTCAATCCTCGAATACTATTTTAAAGATTGCCAGTGTTTTCATTGATCTGTTTTGAAATGATTCACTATTTGTCTAGGTGTAAAATTGTTAGCTGCTTTTCTTGGTGTCTGTTCTAAATTATACTGCACTTGTTTTTCATTGGTACCTTACTGTCTTGTTGGTGTTTATAGTGACTAAGATAACACCTCATTTTTAGTTTTTTTGATAGTTGAACTTTAAGGTGAAGTACAACATAATTATGTGAATTCTTGAGAAGAAAAATAGATAAAAACCAATCTTGCTAGACATCTTACATTTGTGATAATTTGTGAAAATATATCCTATCAGATGTTTCTGAAATGTTACACATTATCTAATTATTAGAGAATCGTTAATCTATAGTTTGCTTATGTTTGCCTTAAGAGATTGACAGGATATGACAGTACATTTTAAGCAGTGTGATTGATGAGGGTGAGATTTCACATGCCAAGTGGAAAGTTTATACACAGGTGTCTAAGTCTGGATAGCATCAACTGTAATGTCCCTCAGTTAGTTACATATAGATATAGAGTAATTATACAGATGGGTTAAATGAAACTTGGGTACTACTCTGTTATTTCCTCAGTTCTTATTAAACCAAAACAATGTAAAAATCATATGCTGTACAGTTTTTTCTGGTATTAGATATGTAGAAAAATCTATAAAATTAATTTGCATTGATCTATACTTGACTTACAATAAAATAAAAAAAATTATTATATAGCATAAATAACAAATTCAAATTGAGAAAAATTCACCAACATAACTTAGAGAAGAGTGAAAACATTCATGTCAGTCTATAACACTCACCTTGTGCCTTAGCTAAGTCAATCATGGAAAACAAAATAAGCATAAATATTCCTTTTTCCTTTCATACTCACACCCCTTGAATCCTGCACTTAATGATGTTGTCTGTAGGATCAAATAGAATGAGAAGATAAGATTTAGAAGACTGATTTCTCTGTAAACCTTTCAGATAACCATTGGAAGTATGTTCAGATGTCAAAGACTCTGTTGAAAGAAAGCATAGCAGTTGGTTTCAGATGTCTTTGATTGCTCTAAGAAAATATATGAAGAGAAAAAGATGTGAATTTGAACTTCGTGGGTGAGAGTATTTTAAAAGAATTACAGATTACTCATTTTTCCTAAACCCTACAAAAGTTCAGAATAAGCAAAAATTATATTACAAAATATTCATGCATTGTAGAATATTACCCTCATAGAAGTCACATTTATATGATAGTTACATTTTATGTGGGTATATATAACTTATATTAATAAACATAGTACAGGCATGTTCCTTTGTAAGATGTAAGTAGGTCCATTTACATAGTGAAAAGCACTTTGGAGGATTTTTAAGACCCAAATTTTGGGCTCAAAGTTTGAGACTTACTGAATATGTTTGCTGTTCTAGACATTTTGCATTATTAAATTATTTATGCCGGTGAGAGTAGATAGTATTCCCATCTTACAGATGAAAATTAATGTGCCAAAAGATTAACATGTTGGGCAGCAGAACAGAGCAATATTTGGAGTAAGAATTTACAGGTCTTCTGGTTTCAGTGATGTAATTAAAAATTGTAAAATTCTAAGATACCTAATATCAATAGTTATTCTAATAACTATTAGAAAAAGTTATTCTAATAACTTGTATGCCTCTGTCTAAAACAGTGATTTGTTTAGTACTTATTCCTTTTCTTATTTGCAATTAAGGAAGTATAACATTGTAACTAATGTATACATTATAATTCAGTCTAAAATATAAACTGTTAAGTACTATTTTATAAATATCTTCTAATCCCAGATAACTTCTGCAGGGAAATGGAATTTTTGTCCTTTGTTGTTATTATTAACAACTCTAGTCTGAAGCCTTGATTTTTGAAAGTCAAATTACATTTAGAAACATTTAAGTGAAAGTTTATAGAATCAATACAGAATGAACTACTTCAAGAGAATGACTGATTTAAGCCTGCTCTTGATTTTAAACTATGGTAAAGAACTTTGGTAATGAACAGCATTAAAATAGATAATCGTCGAAATAATTTAGGCACATGAAATTATGTGTTGTGATAACTAAGTGGTGTAATAGCCAGACATGCTACAAGCCTGACTGCTCAATGAAAACTCAGGAGAATAAAGGTGGTGTTGCTAGAATTGCCTGATATGCTTGTAGGTAAATCCTGGGATGCCACCATTCCACAAATGACTCTTCAAAATTTTTAGCCATAAGGGCTAGGGATTTAGCTCAGTGGCATAAGCACCTGCCTGGCCAACTGCAAGGTACCAAAATCCATGGTACCAAAAAACAAAAAAACAAACAAACAAAAAAACATTTTTAGCCATAGAGCATGGTAAAATATTGTTCTGTTTGTTTCCTCAATTTATTTCATGAGGTCTTTTTATTTCTTCACACGTGTTTAGGATTGCAGTGACCAATTGCTTCATTAAAGAAATAATAAATGTCTTCTTATAACAACCAAAAAAATCACAAAATAAGCTATATGCTATTTAGAGGACCAGTGGCATATGTTTTTGAGTTGCAGTAGGTGCAGAAGAGTAAATATGTGTCTAGTGAAGAACAAG